TGTGTGTGTGTGTGTGTGTGTGTGTATGTGTGTGTGTGTGTGTGTGTGAGAGAGAGAGAGAGAGAGAGAGAGAGAGAGAGAGATCTGTGAGATCAAGTTCAGCCTGGGCTACATAGTGAGTTTTAGGCCATCTGGGGCTAAAAGGAGCCCCTGTCTCAAAAAAAAAAAAAAAAAAAAAAAAAAATTACATTGAAACCCATTCCAAAACAGTTGTGCTAGCAAATTCATCATAGCATGTACATTCCACTGGGGTACCTATATAAGTCACAGGAACTCAAAATTACTAGGAATATCTCAGCACCTTGAAAACCCAAATATCTAAATGGGCAGAAGGTAGAATTCTGAGATCCCTCAGAATGACCTTTTCTACATTCTCAACTCAGAAGCTCAAGGAAAAGACATAGAAATAGGTTCAGGCTAGAGTCGATGGGAGTAAGTTACGAAATCACAGAACACATACAGACAAGTGGGACCTAGCAGATACTCTGATGACATCATCATTCCCAACTGCCCAGCCTTGTAGCTTTGTTGTCAATGCCAGTTCATGACTGTACTTCAGATCCCATATCCAATCATCTTATCCCATTACACATCTAATCACCCATGTGCCTGGTCCTCCCCATTCTCCCTGTGCTGTCATCAAATGTTGGCAGCTGATGCCTAATCACAAAACCTCTTAATGTCCAGCTGCCTCCATCCCACCCTACCTATAAATGCAGTCAGAAAACTGCTTTCTACACTCTGCCTTTTCCCATTACTCTGCAGCTTGAGAATACCATGGCAACCTTGACTTCTTGTAGCTAGCTTTTAGTGGCTTTCAAACTGGAGCCACCTCAATGGTTTACCCTCTTGCCCACCAAACTTCAGCTTACATTGCTTCAAGCCATGGCCCTTTCTGTCTCCATAAGCCTATCCTGCCCATTCCCACCACAAAGCTGCCTTTACCAAAAAGGAAGTCTCCTTGCCCCTAGCGACCCACCTGTCTTCCAGGATTAACTCTGATCCAATTTGTTCACTAAGGTTTCCTTAATTACTCCACCCATATATATCATTGGAATAAAAGGCTTTAGCCATTTCCTTTATCTACTATCTAAACAGATTACTTCTCTGCATGAAGTCTACCTATGACTCCCTATTGCTCACAGCATAAATTTGAATATTGTTAGAAAGGGTTCAATGTCTATTGTAAATCAACTATGTCCGGTTTTTGCATCCTTACTGTCATCTTTCTGATACATACTACATTCTCTTTCTTTTCCCAAGATGTCCTCTACCCTTCTCAGTTTAGCATTCCTTCTTTCCAAGTTACCCAAAGAAGCTCTGTACTGAAAAAATCTGGGCTGGAGAAATGCCTTAATGGTTAAAGAACAGCCATTGCTCTTGTAGAGGACCCTGATTTAGTTCCCAGTACCTATGTGGTAGCCTACAACCATCTATAGATTCAATTCCAGGTGATCCAACACCCTCTTCTGGCTTCCACAGGCACCAGATGAGCACATGGTGCACATGCATACATGCAGACAAATACTCATGCACATAAAATAAAATAAATAAATCTTTTTTAAAAAGAGCTCTGCTCTGTTAGGACTTTTGTAGACACTCCAGATTCAGGATCTTTCCCAGACCTGCCTTGATTAATGCATCTCTCAACTCAGCAGAGAAGCTTCCTTATGTGGTAGATGGTGACTAACACAGAAAACCATGACTGGTCAATATGCAGAGAATAAGAGGCTGCAGACTGTTAATCCCTAAATAGGACACCTAGATCAAACTTCTGCATCTTAATGCTTAGGGATCATTGTGGAAGAAGGGGCAGAAAGATTGAAAGAGTCCAAGGAGTGGATGACCATAAGGAAACAGAGTTTTCCAGACAGCTGAACTCACACCAAAGGTACCATCATGGACAAGTCCCAAATAAGCTCAAACCAGACAAAATACCAGTATAGATGTGGGGAAGTGGGTAAGGAACCCCACTCAATCCTACCTGAGGAACTATTAGCAACCAATGACTGCTGGTAAAGGGAGATTCAGTCTCATTTAAGGTTGCCCAAGCTCCAGTGGATAAACCCACATCAAAAGGCATTTGGAGACACAAACCTGATACTCTCTATATATAGATAGATAGATGATAGATAATAGAAAATAGAAGATAGAAGGTAGATATGTGGATAGATGATAAGTCAGTAGATGATAATAGATGATAGATGATTGATAGATAGATAGATAGATAGATATGATAGATAGATAGATAGATAGATAGATATAGATGATAGATAGATAGATGATAGATAGATGGTGATTGATAGATAATAGATAGATAGATAGATAGATAGATAGATGATAGCTAGATAGATGATAGAATACAGAATTTGAATACAGAATTTGGTGGGGGATTAGAAAGGGGGTGAAGTTATGGGAGTGGATCTAAATATGATCAAAATATATTGTGTGAAATTTACAAAATTTCAATTAAAAAAATAATTTTAAAAAGACAAAACCAAATAGCAACAACAATTACAAAATTCAAATCCTCTCACCTTTGAGTTCATATGGTACATTAGCATAGATCTTTCATAGTAATTAAATATTGTTTTGTCTCAAAAACAAATAAAATATTATATTTTAAAAGATTGTTTTGTGGCTGTAGCTTCAGTGTTTTTAACTTTTACCATAAATATTCTATTCTAATTATCAAAATGGTGTTTAATATTTTTAGATCTTTATTATTTGTATTTTGGTAGATAATAATAACTAGCATTTCAGTAGTAGTCACTATATGCCAAACACTATGAATGTTCCCTTGTCATTAGTTAATTCAGTTTCACAATAAATCTGTGAGACTGAAACAGGAATAGTAATCATCACCCTTTTTTTCACATGAAGAAACAGAAACACAGAAAAATGACTAAAACTGCAAGAGTTTACATAGTGCAGGACCAGCATTTGAACCCAGACAGTCCTACATGGGTATTGTGTTATATCCTTTCTAGGGGCTGGGTCCACAGAGAAAGCCTAAAAGAAGAATTAAAATTACACATAACCCTTGT